ATTGTTCTCATACTGAGCTAAAGCCAGAGCCATGTAGCCCTTACAGTTGTACTATAAGTCTCGGATGATCACTTACAGATAAGTCCTTAGGGAGAGGAATCTAGAGCACCATAAAAACAGCCCAATGCTCTAGCTCCCTTGTTCCATGTTGCTAAAAAGCATCTTTTAGTGTTTATTGCATATACCATTAGTCAAGTTACAAGATCATAGCTTTACTTGAGCACTAGCATCATACTACCCAATGCAATAACCAATAGGTATCAAGGAGCAAGGTGCAAAGTACTAGAAAATCCATAGTGACAGTCAAGGTAGACACATGTAGTATGAATTAAATGATTAAATGTGTATAAGACAACAAGGAAGATCCCATGCTATACTTGCCTTAAACTCAGATCCTTCTTTAAGTCAAAAACTTCAAAGATCTGCTTCTTGTTTCACCACGTATAGCTCACCGACTGGACATGATCATATAGCACCACACAAACATCCGTCCAATCATACACGAAGCAAACAATAGGACTAAATTAGAACAGTACACCAAACATAAAATCAAGATGAAAAGTTTGTAAAACAAATCTACGTCTCGCTACGAACACACAAACACGAAAATCATTCTAATCGAAGCTACGGTTGAATAGATACAACTACATAAAGATTTGCTCATAAGAGAAAATATAAATCTATAAGCGTCATGTGTTTTAACTATATAAAAGATTATATAAATTGAATTAAGTCAAATTTATATTTGAATAATAAAACTAAAGTAGAACAAATCATATTTTATTTATAAAATCCAGTTGCATAATTATTATTCAAATTAGAGTTTAAACCATGAAATTTTAGAAATAGTAATATGGTAAAAATTGTTACTAACACCTAGATCTCGTTGTAATGAATCTAGCACAACTTGAACGGGTCAAATCGGAGCTAAAACGTAGAAGATATGAATTTAACAAGATTTCCTTTAATAAAATAATATATTAAATCTAATCTTGAATTTTAAAAGTTGAAAATATACTTAACAGTAGTATGAACATGTAGATTATGAAAATTACGAACCTAACACAAGTTGAACGGATCAAATCGGAGTTAAAACGAAGATTTTATGGCTAAAACAAAATTAGTGGCAAAACTGTAAATAGATGAAAACGTATTTTGGATCTAAACCGAAGAAACTATGCTTTCCAAAGAAGAAAACGTATTCTGAATATATACATTGGACTGCGGGTTCTATATTCAAAAACTCGAGGGACTCTTTAGAAAATATGCTAGGCGAAGGGGTATCCTTCGATATGGGCCGTTGGATTAGATGCGGGCAGCTGAGATCAGACTCGACGGGAGAGAGAAGACTAGCTGACCGGAACAGGACCGACGGCGAGGTGTCTGCAGCAGCGCCATGGATGAGCTCACCAGAGTTTACAAATTCGGCGATTTAGGCCACGGTTAGACTCAAGAGAAGTACGGGGAGCGAGAGGAGATGATCGCGAACTCACCAAAAAGCTTTTCACGAATGGAGAAGGCGGGACGACGACGGTTGACTCGAGATGATTGACAGAGGCGCTTAGGGCTACAACTGTGGCTCGACAAAGGTACGCTAGGGTGCGGCAGCTTCAACTAGAGTTCGGGGAAAGAGGCACGGCACCCCGTGGCTATTTAAGAGGCAAGGCGGCTTGCGGCACAAGGCACAGAGCACGCGTAGCTGGCGTGGAGTTGGATGGCGGCGGTGGAGTCCATGTCGATCACGGCGGGGAAGAAAAGGAGGAGAGGCTGACAGTCGGGACCCGCCTATCGATGAAACAAGGGTGCGGGGCCGACCAGTCAGTGAGATAGAGCAAGGAAAGGAGGAGGCGTGGTGCGTCGGTGCGGGGTTGCGGCTTGGGCCGGGGGAATGGCTTGCTGGGCCACGTGGGAGAATGTGTAGGAGCAGGCCGTGGGGAAGATGGGAGCGGGCGGAGAACAGAGGCACGGGGGGAGGGAAAAAGGCCGACAGGGAAGAAAGCAGATAGGCTGGCCTGTTGGGCTGCCTGCGGCCACGGGCTAGAAGAGAGAGGGAGAGTGTTTTTCTTCTTTTCCTTTTCCATTTTTAAACCGAATTCAAATATGAATCAAATCAAATTTGAATAGGGTTTCAATACACTTTTTTACTTAATTAAAAATGAGAAATTTTGGTAAGTTCTCAAAAATAAATTTTACAACCTTTTTAAATTCTTTTATTTTTCAATTTCCTTTTTCCCTCTTTTCTTTTACTTCAAAGCCATTTTCAAATTTATTTTTTAAAAGCTTTTTGAATGTTTCCAATTTGAATCAAATCCACACAATTCAAAGAAACAAATGCACCGGCATGTATGCACAAACATGTTGCTATCTTATGATGAATTTTAATTTAATGAAAATTTTTATTTTTCTATATTTCATGAGCACATAAATTTCAAATTAAATCATTTAGCTCTATTTCCAAAAATTTAAATTTTAGGGTGTTACAAGATTAGTCATGCCTTGACTGCGTACTATGCACGATCAAGATCGAAATAGAACGGTTGATAAAATATAATCCACCGTTTGAAGTGAAAATTAACACAATATAGCAAAATAAATAATGCACAAAAAGGATGTGAGACCGATCTAGATCAATCTCGATCAGACAGGTTGATATTGCTGAAAACCTATGACAACAAGAACATCAGCAAGACCGGTAACTTAATGAATCTACCCGAAGGACACCACCCTTAAGTAGAGCCAATAACTTGACCTTAATCTAATTCGAGCAGTGGAGGTCGAACTTAACCGATGCAGCTGTACCTGAACTAGATAAGAGTCGATAACTAACTTATACTAGAGCTCGTAAGAGGTCGGCCGGACCGATCCAGCCTTACAAATAGAAGTATAAGCCACGACGGTACTTACAGACAAGCCAAAGGTTGATCGGATCAATACAACCCTGCTTGTTGAAGAACTCGTCGAGATCTACAGTACTCCTACTCCTAAGATTGGCATGAAGTCGAAAAAAGTAATTGGTATTGATTGATTGGTTGATCCTTTTACAATAGCCGGGGTCCAATATTTATACCTAGAATCTAAGCATGAATCCTACTCAAATACGACTCATTACAATCCTTGGAATAAAAGAAAATATTCTTAACTTAAGATAACTTGGACCCTAATCTTCTTTTTGTAGAGTCCGGTATATTTTTTCCAACGCCAACCATAGCTCATTGATGTTATCTGCTGATGTCACCCGAAGGAAGCCGATCCTAGTTCCTCATCTAAATCAGCTGATATCGATTCTTATGCAATCGATTCCTTGATGACATAATCTTAGAAGCTTCGAGTTTCCGCGTTCTTCTTCCCAAATTTTGATGTAAACAATATGGAAACATGAAGAAGCAAAGAAAAAGAAGAAAAAAAGACGAAGGTATAACAGTTTCTCGACACAACTTTCTAGTGCAATTTTTATATATAATAAATATGAAGGTATAACAGTTTCTCGACACAACTTTCCTAGTGCAATTTTTATATATAATAAATTTACGATTAACATAACTTATACAACAAAAGTTTTGTGGATCAACGTCTTTTGGAAAAAAAAAATTATAAACAACTTATCCAGCACAATTTGTTCTGTACAAACTTTAAACCTGAAAAATCATTCAAATTACATAGAAGAAACATGGGTAGGTTAATATGAAAAAAAATGAACAAGCAAGAAAAAAAAATCAGAAAACTGCATCAGGCCTCTTGAGACCTGTTGGGACCATGACCATCACCACGAACCAAGTTCGCTCGCAGCGAACGAACGTCGTATTTGGATGGGTTAATTGATACATGTCATTACAAATATTGTGTTTCAGAGATATACCATTACTATTTATGATATTGGAAGCGTGTCATCGTAATTTCTCGTATCTTCAAAATATAACACTGCTTACCCCTTCACCTGTTTATCACAATTTCTGGACTAAATTGCCCTCATCTTCTTCCTCCTTCCACCTCCCTGTCTCTCTCGTATTTTGTACGAGCTGTTCTCGTTCCTCCGTGGCTCAAGCTCTCACACCAGGCGGGTGTGAACGCATGCCTGCTGCACGACGATCTTGATGAGACCGGGCTGATGCACTGCGCGACGCGAACGAGCAAGTCCTGGATCGCCCGTATGTGCCTGAGCACCAGCTGCACGGAGGTCCATGTACCTCGCTTATTACAGAGTAGCTAGCTCCATTATTTGAGGCGGCGCTAGGTGGGCGACGGCGTGTGCGCGGCAATCGACAACGGCTGTGTCGTAAGCGAGGCGAGTCGGCAGCGTGGTCAAGGCATTAAGCACGGCGTCACAGATGGCACAGACGTGCTGCTCCACGCCGCATGCCGCGTGCGGCGTGCTGCTGGGACAAGCTGGAGGGCGGAGTGCCCCATCCTTTGGCAAGCCGACTGTCCCGCAAATGTGCCATGGTGGCGGACCGGCAGTCGAGGGCTGACGAGCAGGGAGGTGCGGCACTGTGCTCAGATATTCACACACCCGGCCATGTCCAGAAGTGAAGAGCTCGTACAAAATATTGAGACAGAGAGACAGAGGGAGGTGGAAGGAGGAAGAAGATGGGGGCAATTTGGTCCAGAAATGATGATAAACATATTAAAGAGGTAAGTAGTTGTATGTTTTGAACGTACGAAAAATTATAATGGTAAACTTTTAATATCATAAATTGCCCTGTTTATTTAAACTTATCAACCGTATCGTGAAATAACAGTATTTTTTTCATAATAAATTAGCATCAGCATCGATATTAGATTTTTTAGTTAGCCGAACAGAGAGTAATCGTATATCTCCATAATATAATATTTATAATGACATGTATCCAGTTAAGCCTATCTGTATTTGCAGTTCCATCCTCACCGCCGTGAGCCCGTGACGGCGATGCCGCGGGTGTCTGACCTACCGGCCCCACTTCTTGTTCTCGTGATCTCTCTTATCTAAAAGATCGCGGGTGGCTGACCACAACCCCTCGCCGGCAATGGAGGCCTCCGCCGCCGGCGCCGCGGACCCGTACTTCCCGATTTACATCTCCTCGGACGAGGAAGACGGGCACGCCTACTTCACCGAGTCCTACAGCCCCGAAGAGGTCCAGATTCAGGAGGCCATTCTCCTCTCCCTTGATACCTCTCGCGCCCAGACGGCCACCGCCTGCTCCGCATCCTCCTCCTCTCACCTCGCCGGTGCCTCCTCCACCCCTAAGGCCGGTACCTCCGCTACCCCTAAGGAAACTCCTCTGGATCGCAAAGGAAAGCGCAAGCTTCAAGTAGAAGGTACTTGTCACTCTCGAATTGAACATTGAATTCTCGATACCTAGATGCTTACGATTCACTTGCATCTCGCCTAATTTTTCTGATCCGACGCAATGTGGGAGGAAGATGACCCGAGCGACTCCAAGACGAAGCGGTCCAAGCGCAACCGCTTCAACTGCGCCATCTGCTTCGAGAGGGTTCAGGCTGCGGAGAAGTTTGTTGTGAGCCACTGCGCTCACGCGTTCTGCAACAGCTGCGTCGGAAGGTATGTCGCCGGCAAGGTCACCGAGAACGTAGCCGTGATCGGGTGCCCTGATCCCGCGTGTGAGACAGGGATTATTGAGATGGATCTGTGCCGGGATATCATCCCGCCTGAACTATTTGACCGGTGGAATGTCGTGCTGTGCGAGGAGCTACTGGGTGATGATAAGTTCTACTGTCCGTTCAAGGATTGCTCGGCACTGTTACTAAATGATGGCTCCGTGAAGATCAGGGAAACAGAGTGCCCCCACTGTCACAGGCTGTTCTGTGCTCGCTGCCGTGTGCCATGGCACGATGGGATCAAGTGCAAGGAATTTAAGAAGCTTGGGAATGACGAGAAGGGGGAGAATGATTTGATTTTTAAGAAGCTTGCTGACAAGGAGAAATGGCAGAGGTGCCCCAAGTGCAGGATGTATGTTTCGCGAAAATCTGGGTGCTTGCTAATAAATTGCAGGTAATTTTCTATCTAATCATGTCTTTCTTCCAATTCGTATTCTTCTCTAAGACTGCAGTCATGTATAGAAATAGGACAAAAAGTCTGAGTATGGGGTGGAGTGGGCTGTGGTGGTAGGGGGGGTGTACAAAGTTGGCAAAGGTTGTTCGTATGTTTATGGACAGGAGACGAGAAAGTCTAATTGATGCTCATGATAAGAGAGGACTGAAAGGAACAATAATTCTTGTGGAATACAATCTCCCCTTCACTCTAGAAGTCCAGACATGTCAAATTTGTCTTTTCCGTTACTTTTAGCATACACAATCAAATTTTGTTGGTGATGACATAAGTATTAGCTGATGATCGGTGCTTGAGAAGGACACCATAGTGGAGCAAGCTGAACATGCAACTATGCCTACTATTTATGAGTAGTACACTAGTGAATAATGATATTGTATTGCCACTGATTGCTTCAGCATTTAGTGGTATCAATGATAAAGCTACCAGCTGAAGGGCGGGCCTGGTGCAAGCGGTAGAGTCTTACCGCCTGTGACCGGAAGGTCCTGGGTTCGAGTAGCGGTCTCCTCGCATTGCACAGGCGAGAGTAAGGATTGCCACTTACACCCTTCCACAGACCCCGCACAGAGCGGGAGCTCTCTGCACTGGGTACGCCCTTTTTTTTAATGATAAAGCTACCAGCTCATTTGATTGCTGACCCTTTCCACAAACAGCATATCTTGCCTTTACTTTTGGTACCTATTCTCAATTGGAACTGTTGAAGGTCCTTTCACGATTTTATGTATATGGTTTATATTAACCATCACTTTCAGTCTCCATGAATGACATGGGAAAATGATTAAAACTGTCCTCTTATTTTTGTCTTGTATGTAAATAGGTAAACAGTCATGTACTCTTGTATGCTGAAAATGAGGGAAGCCAAATGATGTTATAATAGGAAATATATAATTATAGTTTGTATCTACCCCCTACATTTTGCAGCAAGAATAGCTAAGGTATATTTATTAGTATGTACCAAAGGGAATATTCAACAGGTTCCCATTTTTTTGTGTTTAAAGCAAAAACCTCCATGTCCATCTCCTTTTGGGCTGTGAACAAAGTTCCTTAAGTGAAACTAGGTTTTATTTCTCATGGAAATTAGTTTCTAAGAGCTAGTAGTTTGCCATGCAGTGAGGACCTGGGTTGGTAAACTGTAACATTCTATCAAGTTCTAGCATGGTTTTTTGTTGTTCTGCATGATTTTATTTATCTTTTTGGTTACTTCTGAATTCTGATTCTGGCTTGTGCTTTTAGTTTTGTGTCTAGTAGATTTTGTGACTGCCAAAGTTGTCCCAGCAGTTTTAAATATCAATTTTACTGGTTCTATAAGCGCAAAAGTATATATTGAATTTTGTTTGTTGATATTCATCTGATCTCCATCATCTGACTAACAAAATTTTTTTGTTCTGTTTTTGAAGGTGCAAACAGTACTTCTGTTACCATTGTGCTGCACCAATGGATAGGAAAACTCACTATTGTGAGAATTGCAAGCACTAGAGAAGTAGACAAAGGGATAATAAGTAGATAAAGGTCTTACTTAACGATGCAGGCTCTGTGTGTAGTTGTAGGTGATGTCTAAGTAGAATTTCATCCCCTTGTAGTGGAAGTAAGTTCCGCCTTCCTGCCTTCATGATCTTGTTGAGCTGAAGTTATCCTTAAAGCATCCTGCATCATCAACTCCCTCCGTTTCCAAAAGTTTTAAGATAACTTAAGAGAATATTCAAATGATGCATGTACCCATGGATTAGACTCAGTTAAGGAGTTTCTACTTAAATTATGGTTTCCTTTTTAACAAACTTAGCCAAATCTTAGCATGGGCACCACATAAAATACCTTATATTTCAGTACAAATTTTGGAAGTCATAATGCACTATATTCCAGAACAAAGGGAGTATTTGATTAATTTGCTGGTGCTTTTAGCTATAATATGATATATGGTTTTTCTAATTCTATAGTTAGGTTCAATTCAGTATATAACAGAAAAGCAAGAAAAACATTTTAACTGTGATTATGTGATGCGAACCATATCTTTGTTAGATTGATTTCAGTCAGCTAGATAATATGACAGCTTTTGTCAATTTTGAACATGTTAGCAGTCCTGAGGTGATATGGACTTCGTGACTTAAAATGTGAAATGAGGTGCTCCTTGCGATCATGCAAATAACAGAGCTCTTCTCGCTTGACTGTCCTGATTTTACACTGTCAGCCTTTTGTTCTTAGGCCTGTTGTTTCTCTTAGATTTAGTCCGTACAAGCAAAGTCTTTGTTTTATCAGTAATATTTGAGAGGTGACTTTCAACGGGTGGTTGAACAAAGTTGTTGTATTGTACTGTTGTTGCTTGTCTGATGGATAGAGTTTATGATTAGCACGCGATAGCATGATTGAATGCATAAAGCTGATCATTGAACTGGGATTGTTAAGTGCGTACACTTAGGGCGTGTCCAACGGGAGAGCAAATTGCTAGCTAGAAGCGTATTTTATTCATTGTTGAAGAGAGAGAATGCATAAAAAGAAAGCGCTAGCGAGTCCTCAATCGCTTAGCTCGCACTGTCTCCGATGTTATCTGTGTCACTGCTCTTCCCTTTCCTTTTGCTATCCTCTCATGATACTTTAGATTTATTTCATATTTTATTTGATTTGAGCCGGCGACTTGTAAAGGCCATTGGGGATTACCTACATAATTTACGTCTATTCCTCTTGCTGGAACTACACAAACTTAACTTGGATTCTATGTCGGCCCCGTTCACATGCCCTTAAAATTAGCCGGAATTCATTGTTTACGGTTGAAAAACACTGTTTACTCTCTCACAAATTCATTCAAATTCATTCAGATTCTTCCAAATTCCTCCCAGCGAACAGAGCCAATGATAATTGAGATCTCATGATAATTGGAACAGTCCTATGTTAATGTAGATTTTTGTTTGATGGGAATCAAGTAAGGGTCATGCCCACTAGTCCATGGTTAAACAGCAGGGAGGTGAAAACGTTGAGAGAACAGGAAATTGTCAAAGTTACACAACGTCAACTAGTGCCGGCTGTTTCACTCCCGCGGGCAAGATGCTAGCGTTCGGGATCAACTAAGAATGTCGACACGGTAGAGCCTAGCAGCTACAACACATACAAAGATTACACGGCAGTAGAATTAGCAACCGTGGGTATAGGAAGGCAAAGCGTTGGGAAAACTCCGGCCAACCGCATGCAGGAGGCACGCCACCACTGCACGGCTTTTCGATCGCTTCTGATGAGACAAACTGAAGGACATTAGGTACGGCTAGATGTAAAGCCGCTACAGTAGTTTTGATTCCTCCCACGTCCACATGCAGTGTAGTCTGGCTTAGATACGTGCGGATTGTGAAAGCGACGTATACATAGGGAAAGAGAGTTTTTTTTACACCAAACGATTTCATTTCAGCAGCAGGAAGCTGCAATCAGTTTTACAGACTGAAGGGGTACATCAGTCAGTGCATCGTAGAGGGGGCACTGAGTAAAATGGCTCATGTAAGAGCAAACAGGCTGAACACCTGAATCAGTGGAAGCTGAGGCAGAGAAAGCCTGTCTAGCTAAAGCATCAGCTGTAGTATTGAGGGTCCTATTAATTTGTAAGATCTTTGCATGACGATGGTCAGCTCTGTTCTTGAACAACTGGGTGTAAGATTTGATCCTCCAGTCGGGAGGGTGTTCCTGATCTGCTGCATTCAGAAAACGAACAAGCTGCTGAGAGTCCGTAAGGAAGGTGGTGTTGCTAAAGTTGAGCCGGTCGTTGAGGGTTGCTGCAAGGGCAAGTGCTGCAGCCTTCGCCATGAGGACGGAGTGGATACCTGAGACCTGAGATTTGATGTAGATAGTTTGCGTCGGTTGTACCTGTGGATTGACAAAGAAGATCCCGAGTCCTGCTGATCTGGACTGTTGGGAAGGTTGGTCAGGCATTAAGGAGGCATCAGAATAGCATCTGACACCTTCAATCAGGAAAGAGAGTTAAGAGACCCGTCCGGCCGTGCCCCGAGTAGTTATAACGGGACATACGCGTAGCGTGGATTAGCCAGTACGATGTGTATATGTGTATAAACATGGCAATGGGTAATTACCCACTGGGTATGCGCTGTCCATACCCTTACCCATGAGAAAATATTTTACCCACTAATTTAACCATACCATGCACGGGCAAGAGTTCTTTCCCATACCTTTACCCATTTAGGTAACGGGTACCCGTAGGTTATCCTTACCCATGATTCCAAGAACATTTGTAAATCAAAATTACATGTATCAATATATCAGTCTCCCAGTGTCAGCCAAAACATCACAAATCAATAATAAATTCATCAAACAAACAAGCAGCATGTTCGGTTGGCTGGTTCGTATCGTTGCTGGTTCGTTTATGTGATAGAGAAGTACTGCTGACTGGTTCATGTGAACATTGTCCATGTGAGGGGGCTGGCCAGCCCAGCCAGCCAGCCCCAGCCGAACACGCTGAAGGTACATGAACACATGATCAAATAGGCCCCGTTCGCTGGTCTGAACTTTGGCTGAAACTGGCTGAAAAACACTGTTTCCGGCTGAATTGTTGTGAGAGAAAAACACTGTTCCGACTAAAAAAATAAGTCGAACAAGTCAAATTTAAGACAAGCGAACGGGGCCATAGTCTAATAGATAGTGACCAATTTCATGAGTTCACATATAGTACAGCATAACAGCTAGGAATTATCAAGTCCCACAACATGACAGCCACACGGCTACACCCATACATACTACTAAATTAGTGAGTTAATCACATATTACATGTTCCTGACTCAAACTCAACCATAAGAATAGTTGTAATACTAGTGAGTAGCAGTTTAAGTATTACAACCAAAAGGAGATACATAAATAGATAATTAAGCTTGCATTGTTGACATGGAGTTGCTGCAGTTTGATAAATTAAGCTTGGACTGGGGTTAGCACAGCTCCGACAAGTTACCACCAGTTGCTTAAAATCAAAGGGCAAGCTCCAACAAAAGGTCAAACAACAAACTACGTGAAGATAAAATATCATCAATGCAAGTTTTGTAGCATGAATATATGTAATTGCACCAGATTAAAAAATAGAAACATGCACCGGAAGACCCTCCTGTATGTCCTGGAGGCATGACCAGAAGGTAGCAGGCTGCTTAGTTTTCTCATCTACTACAAACACAAATACATAATTAGTTCTTAGCACAGCAAGTGAATATTAATTCCACAATGAAGTAACACAAATATACCTTTCACAACTGGAACGAGGTTCTTTGCCGAGGGCCGGATACGCTCGGCAAAGAAGCCTTTGCCCTCGGCAAAGGCTTTGCCGAGAGTTGCTCTCGGCAAAGGTCGGTCGGCACAGTACCTCACGGCAAAGGCTACTTTGCCGAGACCCGCATCTCAGGCTCTCGGCAAAGGATTTGCCGAGGGTTAGCCGGCCGTCGGCAAAAATTTTCACCGTGACGACGAGAGGTCACAGTAAAGTTGATCTTTGCCGAGAGCCTTAGCAAGCTCTCGGCAAAGAATTTCTGAATTTTTTTTCAAAAAACTTTGCCGAGCGTCTGCCAGAAGAGCTCTCGGCAAAGAATATTGACAATTTTTTTTAGAGATTTTTTTTGCCGAGAGCTATGGCTCAGCTCTCGGCAAAGGCTTCCTCTTTGCCGAGCGCTATGGTCATGCGCTCGGCAAAGCTGGGATTCTGTGTGTTCCAGAATTTCCAGCTTTGCCGAGGGCATGACCATAGCCCTCGGCAAAGCCACAACCAGTTTTTTTTTTTGTTTTTTGCATTTCCAGTCAACAATTAAACATATATATGACATATATATGACATCCACATCACAATAAGCACATCCACATATCAATAACTACATCCACATCACATAATTCACATCGACATCACATAGAAGTCTCGAACTTCGAAGTCACAAACAAATATCGACACATAGACAACCACAAGTGTAAAGTTCGACAAGCAACATAAACAAGAGGCATAGGAGGCGCCAAACTGGTCACGGCGACGGTCCGGGCTGAGAAGGCGCCGCGTGCGATCCTGGGGAGTTGACGAGGAGAAGGTTAGGGTCATTCGACGCCGCCGACTGACGCTACACAAACAAAGAAGATGCAGAACGTGTTAGAAAACATAAATAGATAACCAAGCACTACATGTACTTTTTACCACCACGACCACACCACCACAACCACCAACCACGCGACACCACCACCACCACGACCACACCACCACCACCACCACGCCACCACCACACTACTACTACCACCACCAACAAGCACACCACCACGCCACCACCACCACGCCACCACCACGCCACCACAACCACACCACTACTACTACCAACAACAACAACCACACCACCACGCCACCACCTCCACCAACCACGCAGCCACCACCACGACCACGCCACCACCACCACCAACCACGCCGCCACCACCACCCACCACCATCACCACTAGCACTAGGTTTCACTAGGTTTTACTAGGTTTCACTAGGT